CATTATGGAGCTTTTTCTTACTCTGTTCTAGCACCACCATATAATTCAGCAGCACCTTTATTTATTTTCAATCCTACAAGGGATAATTTTTTTTCTCTTCTGACAAATACATATTTTTGACTTCTGTTTTAATGAGCAGTAAATATGATGGAGTACAGACACAGCACTTTGCTCAGGTAGGTATATAGCAATGTATATTCATACAAACACATACATATATTATTATTAGAATTGATGATGCAAATGTGCACATTATAGAAAACTATTTTAATGAATATGTCAGTAAAACAGAAATATATATAATATACATATTTCCATGTGCATCCACCAATATATTTTTTATGGAAGCACATTAAGAATCAGCTATTGAATGGCATGTAAGTAGTTTTATACATTGGATCACTTTCAGAATAGTAGTTAGATTAACTTCTGTACATGCCTTGTTATTCTGTTTAATCTATCACTCTCCATACTTAATAATTGATACTGTGGCTGCAAATCTTATTTATAAATGTTCATCATCATATCTATGTATGTCCATACCTAACAGAAACTGCTCATAAAAGAGTTACATTTGCTCATTTAAACATTGATGTCTATATACTAGCTAATGTTAGACAAATTCAGGACGTGAATGCTGGGATATAGTAGGGCAGGACTTGAAAAAATAGTTTTCCCCAGTAAACACTGAAGCACAATATTACAATAATGACCTAGGATAAAATTTGATATGCAACTTCTAAGAGCTGCCACAGAACTTTTTGCATCTTTTTAGAATTTTCATATTTTAAAACTTAATGAATAAAACATTTAGCATATGGAACATCTGTAATGAAAAATTATGTCTGGAGTAGATGCTGTATGCTAAGACACCTTGTAGTGCAAGGAGTAACTAAGCAGAACCTGGAAAATGTGATTAAGGCAGAATGAAAAGAAAATAGCTAATTGGCATTCACAAAGATTAGTAAAAGTCATTTTTCACAGAATGCCAGCAATGAAGAAAGAGGGAAGTTCAGTGAGGGGATTCTATTTGACATCCTGCACTTCAAATAAAGTAAATAAAATTTGTTAAAGCTGGTAGACATTTTTTGGAAAAAATCCCCTGTGGAAAGATGCTTTGAGGAAACTCCTTATTAGAATTATGTTTCTGTGTATGCCAACACAGGAGACAGGTGGCTTTTTGACTCCAGGCTTATAAATACCACACATGTAGGACTAGACCACAAAAATAATCAAAATAAACATATGCCAGTATTGGCTTGGGCCAACACTTTGTGTCACGGTTTCCTTTAAACCATAGGTTGCTAATAAAAGATGACACGTTTCACTGGAGCTCTGGCTCTGGAAAGTGCTACAAAAGAACAAGGGCACAAAGATACTTGTCACTACTTTTTAGGGTGCAAGGAGAAAGATTACTTCATGTCAAAAATTCTGTTTGGTAGTTTTCAAGCTACATACCTGAGTTGAGAGCTAATTTTCTGAAATGTTGGCCTAATCTGATTTAACCAGGTAGTCTTAAAAACTGTTCATTCTCCTTTCAGGAAATTACAATGGCTTGTTATTAAGCATCATACCAAAATACTCTAAATGACAAACTACTGTTGACTCTCTGAGTTATCAGTCAGAAAATTAATAGGAGAAAGCAGAGAATATGCAGCAGAAACAGCTATGATTTATGCCAACACTGTCATAATTACATCACAGTATAGATTTTTTCTGAATAACTCAGTTTAATACTTTGTGTATTCATATTTATCATGGGTCTGTGCAGACACAGAAACAATGCTTTTATCTAATTATGATGTTTGACTTGAAATACATTTATCACAGACATCAGTTTTTAACCACTAATTTCAATTTACATAGTTAAGTATTATTTAAGGATTTAATGACAGCAAACAAGGAAACAAGCCAACACAGGGTTGTAAGACTTTTCTCTGGAAACCATAAACATAATGAGAGCCATTACCCCCTATTCACTTGTTCATGAACACTGGGGGTGATTTTGGGGTTTAGAACATTTGTGAAATTTTGACTGCAATTTGACAGGCATGTTGAACAAAATCTGCTCAGTTACTCAAAATGTGAGAAGAAGAAAGAATTTAAATATTCTTGCATTGCTTAAATAACTGGAACATTTTAATAACTGAATAACTGTTAAAATCATGAGTTAAATAACTTGGCTTCCTTCATTTCAGTTTATTAGCAATTATGCACTTACAAAGACAAATCACAGTCAATTAATTAGTAATTAAGAAAGAAAACTTAAAATACCATAAGCACAGTATTAAGGCTGACATTGCCTGAAGATTTACTGAAGATACCACTGTAACAAAATATAAGACAGGACTTCTCAGAAACTATTTTGTTTGCAAAACTTCTTTGTTTTTGAAGATTGTTGTGTTCTGGGAAACATGAAAATGTAATAAATAGGAATACAAAAACATTTAATGATATTCAGCAGCTTTCTCCTCCAGATACTTGTCCAAGATCTTCTGTGAATTTATTAAAATATCTTGCATCTGCAGGGTTACTTTCTGAGCTATTCTGAGAGAAATACAGAATGAATTGTTCAATCTGACACTGACCTCTGAAGTCTATGAAATCTGGCTTTAAGTTAATCTTTACATAAAAAAGAGTGGTTGAATTTGGTATGAGCAGCAGGTCATACCAGAAGAGAACATGTACAGCAGGAGGACTACTAAGATGATCAGAGGGTTGGAGCACCTCTTTCATGAATGCAGGCTTAAAGATTTGGGGCTGTTGAACCTGGAGAAGAGAGGCTCCAGGGAGAACTTATTGCTGCCTTTCAATACCTAAAGAAGGTGCTTATAAGAATTGAGAAAGAGTTTCTATCAAGGCCTACAGTGCCAAGACAAGGGACAATGTTTTTAAAGTGGAAGAAGATAGAGTTCAGACTGGACATAAGAAAGAAGTCTTATATGATCAGGGTGGTGAGACACTGGACCAGGATGCCCCAAGGAGCTGTGGATACCCTGTCACTGGAAGTGAAAAGATAATAATTTGTACTGATTTTTCAAATAGAAATTGTAAAAAATCTTACAACTTATAAAGAATTATATGTAACTATAGTTTTCATGAATGGTATGAAATTTTAAATAATGTTTTTGTTTTTAATACTGAGTATGTTAATTCATAGGACACTGGCTAGGATTTTTGAACACCCTTAATTCACAAATGCACATGTAAATATTGCTAAGATATGAATGATTTAATTAAAATCTTATTCATGTTTTCCTTGTCCTGAAAACCAGTTTCCATTTCACATTGTTTTTTCACATTTCTTTTTTGGAAAACAGATTTTGCTTCATTAGGTGGAAAATAACATTTTTAGCTTATGTCCTATAAAGGTCTAGTTTGCATTTCAGTATATATGAGATTAGCAATATTGTTGAAGTACACTGCCAGCATAGACACAATTTACACTTGTCATTATCATAATAAAGACATCTGAATAAATTTTTGACTAAGAGCATTACAGCCTCCACCTTTCCATAAAATGATGGAGACTAGGTAATGCTTTTCCTGTTTGAGCACCCACTAAAACATGGTTGACACACTTAGACATTTCACCTTATGGCTTGTTTGACAATTTAAATTGTAGCAGTCACTGGGCAACAGATTATGTTGCTTTCTATTGTTTCTTTTCTTTTCTAACACAGTTGCTGTCCTTATCTCACACTGTCTAATACCTGATTACCTAATGAAACAATGTCCTTTTATTTTATTCACAGTGTAATGCTTTATTCTAACAAACAATACTGTACATATAAGAAGTAATGGGTTCAAACTAAAAGGGTACCTTTAGGTTAGGTATACAAAATAAATTCTTTACTATACTTTTATATATATATATATAAAAAATATTATTGAGGGTGGGGGAAACTGCTTTTTTTTTTTTAGATACTGCATTTTAATTCTGTTGTACTGATTTTTTTGTGTAATAGCTTCTAAACTGATAGTCACATTTCATTGATGAATTATACAAGACTGCTTTACAAAAAGAAACAAGGTAACATAAGTGCTTGAATTTAAAATTCATCACTTTGCTCAAACAAACAATGGAGTGGGAAGAATAAAAGTGTTTGGATTAGTGGAGTAATGAAGTGGGAAGGGTTGACTTAAGACAGAGCATAGGAACAAATTCTGCAGTCAAAAGGGCATTTTCAGCTATTGGTGGTGGCAGTGTTGCAGCATCTCAAAGGAAAGTAGGTATTGAAGAGAAGTGGAACTCAGAAAGGGAGTTCACTCATAAGAAAGATTCTACCATTAACAGCAGTGTCAAGCAGTAAAGCCTGAGAACTTGCCAGCAATTAGTGCAAATGTCAACATATGACAGACTCAGTGTCACAATGATTTTACTGAGACTTGGATGTGCAATAATATAATATGAGAATTGATTCCATACTGTTTGCTTGATAAAGAAAACTCTTTCATCAGTTGTACTGAGTTTTGTTATGGCTGAAAGGAAAAGCTGATGGGTGAGACGTGTAGACTATGGTTGATTTATCTTTTACACATACCTGAACAATAACAGCTAAAATATAAACTGGGAATTGTGGAATTGCTGTAATAGCACACAGTCCTTTCCACAGAAAAGAGAAGATTATTTTCAAGTTCACAGGTGAGACTGAGACCAAGAAAATGATCTTTTCTCAAAACCAAGGACACACTACCAAAACAAACCATCAAGCTGAAGCAGTGTGGGCTTTCATGTGAAATTAAAGAATAAAGATCTGATGCTTGTTTCAGACAAGTATCATTATTGACTTTCCAATAACAAGCACATAGTAGAATACTACTTCTCACATAATTAGAAACCAGTCCTGAATTTAGACTAAAACATGAGAGATTTGACAAGAGATGATCTGTTTCTATAACAAAGAGAAGGACATTTAAAGGATGTACTACTTGTCTCAAAATATCAGAAATAATGAGGAATAATAACAGTGTGATGGAAGAAATTCTTCAAACTTTACCTTTGTGGCAGCATCAAAACAGACAAAGCCCATGCTGAAGTCGATGGTAAGTCCCATAAGATGACTCTCTAAAACACAGGCATATGTCTTGCACTGTAAAAGAAAAATCAGAGAAGGTAGTTACCACAGAAGACATTTCTTAATTTTCTTTCTAGTACTACTGCTTCTGAGTCTTTATTCTAATGTTTATGTATCTCAAAATTATTATCTGAAATAGGTAATTTGTGTGTAACTACATCAATTTTTTTTGTCAGTGTATTTCAAATAAAAGGATTTTTATTAGTGATGAAGTTGTCTAAGTCATATGAAAACAGGCTTTGCTTCCATTAGGGAAAAATGAAAGAGGGTCAGAATTGCCTCAGTGGCTTACTAATAACATTTCCTAAAAGGAAAATTTTATTATTTTCAAACCTTCTTATTTTCTTTTTGTACAGAGTAACAAATTCTGTGATTAATATATTCTTTTTATCTTTTCAAGAAAAAAAAAAAAAAAAAAGCCTATGTAAAGTATCTCTTTGGTACACCATTTCTTGTGGTTTTCTGTAGTCCTAAATCTCAGGGGAAAAGTTAGTATTCTGTACTATTTAGCAGCTAATGGAATTATCTGAAATAACTTTATTTTGGTTCAGATGGACTATTTAGCAGCTAATGGAATTATCTGAAATAACTTTATTTTGGTTCAGATGGCGGACCAATATATCTTAAAGCTTTCTATGAGAAACCTAGGACTTCTCAAAGACTTTATCATTGTATAGTTTTTACATATATACTTCTATTTACTTCCAAAACATCACACTTAATACACACTGTGAGACATTTATAAGTGCAATTTTCAGCATCAAAACTACTGCTGTGCTGACTTCAGGTACAAAACAACAGACTTGTCCTTTTCATCATAAAATATGTAAAAAAAAATAAAACATTTCCAAATCAGATGGAAGTTCTTTAAAGAAATTATTCATTTTTTTATAGACATTTTATCCTCCAGGTTAAATAAAATACAGATATATTCTTCAAATATTGCTGTAGCCACTAAAATTATGAAACGAGAACAAAGATTTCCATGTGTCAGCAAAATCAAAATAGAAATTGCAAACATGGGAACGATGTGGGTTAAGAATTGTAAGTATTACAGAAGAACCCATGATTATTTCTGGCATTTTGATTATCAAGGATAAATCACATGCCTTTACTTATATATTCTTTGGGTGGGATCTTGGATTCTAGATGGTCTTCCTCAGAACACAAGAAGCTGGAAAGTCCATTAACAGCTTCTAAATAGAAAATGCAATGAAGGAAAATTGAAAACTTCATACTTAGTGATTATATTAACAAATAAAAGTGGCTTTTTCTTTTTTTTTCTTTGATCAGCTACACCATAAGACTGTTACGAATGTGTAAAATTTGATTGTAAATCAGTGTTGATAAAGAAGAGGATATTGCCTTTTATACTATCTCATTAGCAGAAGAAAAAAGTGTAAAGTGATATATTTCACAGTTACTCAAAGTTAATTAAATCACATATGCAAAAATTTTCAAGTTTTGCAGCAAAGCAAAAAATGTACGGTTTTGTAGAATTACCTCGCAAACATCTTAGAGATGCAAATTACATTTTAATTTGTAAACGTTTAAGATCTGGAACAGCCTTAGAGCCTTTACTGGAAATTAAATTTGGCAAGGAAAATGTGTATCAGGTTTAAAACACGTATTGTCATCTAAAGTTATCTAACCTCCCACCCCAACACCAGAAGCCAACCTACAGTGTGCACTGCAGCACCGCGCTGAGCTGGCACAGCTCCTCTGCCTGAGCCCAGCACTGCTCCTGCTTAATTAGCCTCACTGGGAACTCGGGATTTATGAGAAACAGGACACACCAGTCTTGGTTCAAGGCTGCACTGAAAAAGCAACCTGCTTGCAAGTCTGAAGGGTATTTCTACAAAAAGGCAGTGCACAGTGTGCGGAGGAACATAATCTAGTTCAGCTCAGTGTAGTTATTTGCAGGAAGAAAATGCAGGTCATTAGTAGCAGCTGAACATTTAGTTACTTTTTACTTATATAAAAGACCACTCCACGCCCTCGGACTATGATGTTCAAAACAATTTAGAGAACAGAAAATGTGAAAACAACGAAAAGATTTCTGGACTGTGTGAATTTAGTTTTCCTGGAGAAGAATATCCCTTGGTTTTTGCAGGTGGTGTATCCACTTGCACATGATTCTGGTGACAGGTAAGAGTGAACTTTCAGACACTAGATAACTCTCATATGACTTTCCTCATCTTTATTTTCTTTAAATTGCCTTTTAATTAAGATATTTGGAGAAAACAGGCAAATTGTTAACAAGATATGAGGTAATTTAAAATTTCTTATGCATTTAACATTTTTAAACTTTAAAAGTTACTATGAATAACATATACTATGGATGTTTGGCTTTGGTTGCTGATTTTTCACAAGAACTCAAGAAAACCTCATCAGATATGAACCATCCCCTTCCCAAAAGAAGCAGAACACATTTCAGCAGTCACTTGCTGTTCTTCCACAGAATACAGAATGTTAACTTTGGTTTATTAATAATTCAATGGGTCAGGCAGAGGCTGAAGGAGACAACTTGAAGTTCTTCCTTAGAAACTATTTCTTCAACACACATAGCTTAAATTATGGAAAGAACAATATATTCTGAACTTCACACAAGCCATCTCTGAAGCTGAAACAAAGTAAACTCTAAATCTAAGACTTAATTCAGATGTTTAAACTCAGATTCAACTTCAATGAAAACATACGTTAAGGTAGTGCAACATGAAACAGCTTACATAATAATCCTTACATTAGAGAACAAAAAACTGCAATGCAAGCAAGGACAGCAAGAAAAAAAATCATGATGGAAGAGGTGAAAATATTAGCTTAAAGTATCAGGAACACAAAGGGAATGTAACAGCCATATATAATTGCACATCATTATGCAAGTTATAGTAGTCTCAGATTCTTCATGCAACAATGCTGTGAGAAAGTAAGGAAAAAGGATTTTCATTTTGACTAATTTTTTTTTAATAGGTAATTATGAAAATGTATTAACACCACTTACCACATTACAAAACTAATTAAAGAGTGATTGTTACACACCAAAATGACACCACTGTATCATTGTACCATATTATTGCTAAATTATTATCAATTTGACTATGCCTCCTCTAATACATTTCTTTTCTAAGAAAAACAAACTGTTTAATTTTTGGTTTAGATATACCTCTGGCAGAAGCTATGAATAAGGTTGAAACAAAATTCATTATTTATTTATGGTAATGCATTTTAAAAATATTTGAATTTGTTATATATTCTTTGCAATTAGATTAGAATTGGCTCCTGATTAACCTCTTCTGGAGATTATAGCCATCGAGTAAGAGTTACTACTTATGATTATGGAGTAGCACACAATGCAGTTGAATAATTTTAAATGGTAGTTTTAAACTGAAGTTATAGTTTCAAAATTATATTATTTTATTGTAAGACAAACCTACTGGATTAGCATTCACATTAAATATGAATATTCATATCAACATGAATGCATAAGCCAAAATTTCAGTAAGGATGTACAGTTGATATCTTAATTTGGAACCTTTCACCTTTTTTATTCTCACAGAGCAATGAAAGAATTTGTTGGAAACAAATTATACCACCAGATTTTATCTGCATCTGCAGGTTGGTAGATGAAAGCAGTAATGGTTACTGAAAGAAATATCAAGAGGCCAAACCAAATTATATTAAAAATACTCATTTTTTTTTTCCAAATCAAGATACAGAAAATAAAGAAAAACATGCAAAATAAAAAGTGTGATATTAAAATAAAAGTGCGACAATAATATTCTATCATGAGAAGCCTGTTTGTCCACTTTCACAGACATACTATAATCAATCAATCAATCAAACAATCAATCAGGAAATCATTACTTTGAATTCTTAATTGCTACACTGAACATCAGGAGAGAGAAAAAAAAGGTGAAAAGACTAAGATGAATCTGAGGTTAAGATTATAAAGGAAATTATTTTTGAGAAGCATGATGGCAATTTTCAATAAATGTAGCTCTAAAACCCAAAAGAAAAATCTAAACTAGGAATGCTACAATATGAATTAACTTGAAAATAGAACAAATATGATGAGGTGGCTTCTGAGTTAAAAGTTATTCCAAAAAAATTGCCACATATTCTTTTATTGATGGCACAGCAGTGCTTCTATTAAGTATGTTGCAGGGAATTATATAAGAAAGACAAAACCTCTTGAATATTTAGTGGCAGAGGACAAGTATTATTGCAAGTTTTACACAGAAAACCTAGTCTTGGATCTTCTAGCATGCAAGTACAGCTTAAAATTTCTATAAAAAGTAACAGCATATATGAATTTAAAAGAGGAAGCTGAACCTCCCCTGACTCCTCATGCAACAAAGGTACAGCGCATTAAAACTGACAGCAGTGTAGTTTTTGCAAATTGGATCTTCATTAGTATAGACCAATTCAGTCCATCTGCATGAGGTGGTTCACAGGTCAGAAAAGGGCTAATATATAACTAACTAACACTTTGTCTGAATAAAAACATGCCAGTGCTTGCATTCCCAGGAGGACACAGACAATGTGTGAGCCAATATTTGCACAGTATGCTAATATGGTTTGGGTAGGTGTGTATAACTCCTGCCAACACCAACCAAAGCTGCTCTAACCACATGAAATATATTTCATTATTAGAAAATTAATATTACAATTTGGATTAGGTGAATTATAATTGTGGTTCTCCTTTTTCAAGTCAAAAATCATTACTTTTGGGTCATGTGAGAAGAAG